GGTGGGTTGATAGTGGATGGGTTTACAATGGGTAGGTTGACAGTGGGTGGGTTGACAGTGGGTAGGTTGACAGTGGGTAGGTTGATAGTAGGGTGGGTTGACAGTGGGTAGGTTGACAGTGGGTGGGTTGACAGTGGGTAGGTTGACAGTGGGTAGGTTGACAGTGGGTAGGTTGACATTGGGTGGGTTGACAGTGGGTAGGTTGACAATGGGTAGGTTGACAGTGGGTAGGTTGACAGTTGGTGGGTTGATAGTGGATGGGTTTACAATGGGTAGGTTGACAGTGGGTAGGTTGAGAGTGGGTGTGTTGACAGTGGGTAGGTTGACAGTGGGTGGGTTGACAGTGGGTGGGTTGACAGTGGGTAGGTTGACAGTGGGTGGGTTGACAGTGGGTAGGTTGACAGTGGGTAGGTTGACAGTGGGTGGGTTGACAGTGGGTGGGTTGACAGTGGGTAGGTTGACAGTGGGTGGGTTGACAGTGGGTGGGTTGACAGTGGGTAGGTTGACAGTGGGTGGGTTGACAGTGGGTAGGTTGACAGTGGGTGGGTTGACAGTGGGTAGGTTGACAATGGGTAGGTTGACAGTGGGTGGGTTGACAGTGGGTAGGTTGACAATGGGTAGGTTGACAGAGGGTGGGTTGACAGTGGGTAGGTTGACAATGGGTAGGTTGACAGTGGGTGGGTTGACAGTGGGTAGGTTGACAGTGGGTGGGTTGACAGTGGGTGGGTTGACAGTGGGTGGGTTGACAGTGGGTGGGTTGACAGTGGGTGGGTTTGGTAGTGTGTGGACACAATTATTCATAAAGAGTCTGTGGAAATTTGACATTACAACATCAGATATTTGGCGCGTAGTACATTCGCCACTGCGACATTCATGCACTAGCTTCAAACTATAAATACAATTTACAGAATTTTGACCACCGTTAGTATCAGGGAGAGAAAGTACTGTACTCATTAAATATTTGTTCAGGATGACGCAATTATTTCCACCCTACGCACAAATCACCCACGTCACCACTTTTTGTGAACTTAGTACCTAACCATAACATAAGTCAATACAACAATCGACTAGCGGTTCCATCTTGTCTAGCATGGGTATTACCAATATGAAATCCTATCACAAAAATATGTAAAAAGCAGTTGTTTTGTTATTGTAAGCAGTTGGCTTAATGGTAATTTAACTCTCAAAATTTTTTATTAGTCCCTATGAACTCTGTCATCGGCGTTACAGATGGTTTGTTGAGCAGCTTCGTGGCGTGCGATCTGAAAAATAAACGAATCAATTTAACTTGTAACAGCACAAAGTGAAATGAAATGCGAATTTTTAATTTTTTAAATTACATTTGAAGTAATGTGTCCCTTCAAGAACTGCATGGACACACTTCGATAAGGATCAAGGATGTTGAAATTGAACGCTTGCAAGTCAAACTTGAGGTATCGTAAATGAAGTTTATGGCTCGAAAATCTGTATCATATTCCGATTCTCTCAAACTTAAACTGAGCTCTAAAAATAATAAATACATTTGTAAAATTATTTTAAATTTACATATTACATACACTTTTTTTTTTAAATCCAAGACATTTTTTTTGTTGTTGCTAAAACCTTACTAAAGGTAAGAAGAAGTAAGCTGGACGTCGGTAGGATGGACAGACACGAGCTTGCTGTCTCCCGCTCTGACATGACCAACTACTTTTTAAACCAGATCTAAGGCGCTAAAGAATTTAATGAACTTGAGGCCCAACCGTGGACGCTGAAAGGCCAGGACGATGCGCCCATCCCTCGTATTGGTTGCTGCCCTAGGTAAGTTTAGGTAGTAGTTTTCCGATCTAGCTCCATGGTCTAGGATAGTTTCTTCAATGTTTCACAAAAGCATCACATTTCTTATGCAACAGCACAGTTGTTTATTGGTTCTCAACCCTTTTGATCCGCAGAGACATATTTTAAAAATCAATTTCTATGATGGATCCCCCTTATGCTACTCCATGTCTTACGCGTTAAAAGTGTTAAAAGTGTTAAAAGTGTTAAAAAAAGTGTTATGGTTACCCTGAGACGTGTGCTAAGTGCGCTTTCAACAGATTGTATTTTACACACCTACTTTAAACTAATAATTCAACAGACTTGATTTCGACACCTATTTAATAATACCATTTCAGCAGCTTTCATTTCGACACCTATTTAATAATACCATTTCAGCAGCTTTCATTTCGACACCTATTTAATAATACCATTTCAGAGCAGCTTTCATTTCGACACCTATTTAATAATACCATTTCAGAGCAGCTTTCATTTCGACACCTATTTAATAATACCATTTCAGAACAGCTTTCATTTCGACACCTATTTAATAATACCATTTCAGAGCAGCTTTCATTTCGACACCTATTTAATAATACCATTTCAGAGCAGCTTTCATTTCGACACCTATTTAATAATACCATTTCAACAGCTTTCATTTCGACACGTACTTAAAACTAACTCTTCAACAGATTTCATTTTGGCCCCTTTAAAAAAAAAAAAAACTAACAATTACACAGACTTAATTCTGACACCCATTTAAAACTAACAATTCAAAAGACTTTATTTTGAGACTTATTTAACTTGGACGGAAAGCTAAAATCCTAAAACTAAACAGAGTTAGTTGGCCACCACACCCTCCCCTATTGTTACAGTGAGAAAATCCTGCCGGGGATCACTCAGTCTGATTCTTCCTTTCACATCAACAGTGTCGAGCCTGGTGGAGACCTCCCTGCAGATCAACATGGACTTCCAAACCGTTGAGGACTCCTGCACACTGTCCATGACGTCAGGGAGCGCGTACGCAAACGTCAATGTTGGTCTGCTGCGGTACAAGCAGCAATGCAGGTCTGTCATTCAACTGAACGTCGCGTGAATCTCAATAGAGTCACCGTTAGAATCATTTAAAAAAAACAACAACAACGTATTCATTCGATTTAAAGACAGGACTGCCAAACAGACATAAGAGCTGCAGGCCACATTTTTACAGGACTGCCAAACAGACATAAGAGCTGCAGGCCACATTTTTACAGGACTGCCAAACAGACATAAGAGCTGCAGGCCACATTTTTACAGGACTGCCAAACAGACATACGAGCTGCAGGCCACATTTTTACAGGACTGCGAAACAGACATACGAGCTGCAGGCCACATTTTTACAGGACTGCCAAACAGACATACGAGCTGCAGGCCACATTTTTACAGGACTGCCAAACAGACATACGAGCTGCAGGCCACATTTTTACAGGACTGCGAAACAGACATACGAGCTGCAGGCCACATTTTTAACGGTTTAAAATAAATTAAACAAAACTCGCCACGGACAGGATTCATAACAGTTATTGAAAGTATTGTAATGATCTAAATATGTCAATTCGCTTTCCGGGAAAAAAGAGCGTTATTTTTTACGTATATGTTTGTATCCACCATGTAATAATTGCATAGCGACTTCTTAGCTGTGAAATTCTACATGATTCTATGAAGTAAAATAAGAAAAGTTGTCTGAGCATTGTCATTTCTTCGGACTAGGAATTTTTTTTCCTTTTTACGTTTTGTTTGTGTGTGTGTGTGTGTGTTTGCTGATAGTTTGCAAAATGGAATTAAATTTTTTATAAAGTTTAAAATTTCTCTCAGGGATGGCCAGGGCCGAAGGTTGAGAGTAGATGATGAAGGGGAAAAGTTGTGGACAGAAGAGAGCTTGGCGGGATCCTATGGAGGATGAGGATACACGTTGGGTAGTATCGAAGGAGTGGAGAAATTACGGTTCTATCTTGGTGGGTGAGGGGTGATATTAGACTTAGGAGAGAGAGGGGGGGATCGTGATGTCAGGGCACCGGAGTTAAAGCGGTGTGACATGGGTTTGAGTACGCGTGATGTTAAGGAAGCGCAGAAAAAAAAGTGTGTGGGGGGGTAGTGATGTAAGGGATGAAGATGAAGTGAAGAAGAGAGTCGTCCTTGACCTGCGGTGACGAGTACCCCGGTAATGTTGAAATTTTGTGGATATAAGTCTACACACCAACTCACTCAAGTGAGGTGCACGTATTCTGATGACGTCATTTCCACCCAGAAACATGGACGAGTACATCACGTGCGTCATCACGACCAGGCAGTTCAACGATCTCATCAACATCGACATCCCGGCGTATGACAAGCATTTCCCCGCAGAGGAAGACCTCCGCTACGCCGGGTACATCTTCTGCCAGTCTTACCTCCCGACCCGTAAGTGAAGAACGACGACTGACAAAAACAAATGACTGAATGCTATTCAAATTATGTTTATAAATACAGTTATTTTAAAATCACACAAGCCTTCTTTCATTAATTTTTATTTCTCCATCATCTTCAATCCTCCGTAAATTCTAATTTTTCCATATTGAACAACTGCACCGTTAATTTTTTAAACATATTTTATTTTACATCTTAGATTTCTTAATTTTTAAATAATGAATTCTAGCCACCTCCTCTTTTTCCAATTAGTTTACTTTTTTTTTGGGCCGGCTCCTTATAAAGAGTTATCAGTTTTTCCGCCATTTTCAACGTTTGTTGTTTTTCCACATATGTCAAGTTCTAAAGTTGTTCCCCCCTGAAGCTGACATGGGCGCGTGTAAACCAAACACAGAATCCTGTCGGGCGGAGCACGTCAAACCCTCGGACGTCGAAATGCTGAGAACCGCCGTAAAAGCCAAAGACATACCCCGGTCTAGAATTTACTCCTGCAGGTAAGTTACGCCCGACTAGTTTACCTGTGGTACACGGGGCAAACAGCACCAGGAATTTATCGGCTTTTTGAGGCCAGTGGAGTCTGCGACACATGACTTCAGCTCAGAGAGTATCTCGACTGATCTATGTTGCTGTTAACTTTTTCTTTGTTCGTACTGGTAGCCTTCACATCTACTCTGGGATCATTTTGAACCCACTACGACATTTGAACCTACTACGACATTTGAACTCACTACGACATTTGAACCAACTACGACATATGAACCCACAACGACATTTGCACCCACTATGACATTTAAACAAAATACGACATTTGAACCCACTACACCATTTGAACCTACTACGCCATATGAACCCACTACGCCATTTGAACTCACTACGAAATTTAAACTCACTACGACATTTGAATCCACTACGCCATTTGAAACCACTACGCCATTTGAACCTACTACGACATATGAACCCACTACGACATTTGAACCCACTACGTCATTTGAACCCAATACGCCATTTGAACCTACTACGACATTTGAACCTTCTACGACATTTCAAGCCACTACGACACGCTGTCGGGCGGCTCTGTCTTTCATTGTCCAGGGAAGTATCCAGCGACCGCAACATTCTCTAAAGGTGTAGATGACTACAACGCTGTCACGAAATGACTTAAGTTAATTCTTTAAATACAAGTCATACTCTGAGATCGCGGTAAGATGGCTGACCCCAGAAATCAACTATGATCGTTACAGTTCAGAACACTGCTAACACTGATCAACACTGGACAAGCACTGTCCTACCAGAACTACGCTTAAAACAAAGCTATGTTCTAGCACCGTGGTTGGCAAATCGCGGCTCGCGAGCCCCATGCGGCTCTTTAGTCACCTGAGTGTGGCTCGGCCAGTCGGCCAAAAAAATCGGTTTTGACTCCAAAAAACATGATTCTTGAAAAGAAATTTGGCTCTCAAACAAATCTTAATCGTCCTGCTTCTGATTTTTGTCTCTTTTGGCTATGGAGTTTGCCCTATAACATACAGGGCAGACCGGAAACTATTTTATTTTAGGAGACTGCAAGCTATTTCGAAAAAAAAAAAAGGTTATTGGAGACCTCTTGATTTCTGATGACTGTGTCCTAAATGCAAGTTCAGAACTGAAATTGCAGCAAATACTTGATCGATTTGGTAAGGCCTACGGCAACTACGGCCTCATCATCAATCCTCAGAGAGCGCACTGCTCACGCATAACGATAACGCACGGCAAGAAAAAACAACATCGACCCAAATCCTACTAGGGCCGAAAACAACGTGTGTCCCACGTGCGGGAAAGCTTTCCAGCCACAAATAGGACTGGCAGACCACCTGCGTGCTTACCGTGTAATATAGCCTTGGTTAACGTCACATGCGAAGGACGTACGACACCAGAACAATGGAAACTAACTGAACTCTCGAGACCCAACGAACTTCTTGTGGTCACACGTCGTGCACACGTCATCTCGTTTGTTGTCATTTCCCGTTGCTAACAATAATATTAAGACTTTAGACTGGCACCCAACTCACAGCTCACGACCAAATCAAAATGCAACCATGGACACGGAGATTGGTATAATTTGTCAATGGACTAATTAGCTTGCATGTGGAAAGCGCATACTGGGAATTCGTTCTTCTGCACCCCGATAAAGTGGACTCAATTACGAAAATTTTTTGACTAATTGACAAATATTACAAAATTCTGCACTACTGATCAGTCCCTGGCCAAGCTGCCGGGTCCTCGTGTGAGGCTGTCTCGATTGCGTAATTTTGGCCAGTGTTTAAATCGTATTATTAAACAAATAATTAATCCTAATTCATTGATTGGGGTTTAGTCAGGGGGTCATATCTTTGAATTTCTCCAATCCCCCACATGTCAGTGTGCTGGTTTAGTCCAGAAGCTTCAGGATTACTTGGCTGCCGTGAACATATATGTATGTTCAACCAAAATTAGTATTTCATTTGTGGTAGTTTATTTAGTTAAACGGAAGAAGTAAGTTTACAAACATATAGTCCATTCAATTATCTTTCATTTGATACCTCACTTTGTCTTACAAACCCAACAATAATATTTTAAATGGTTTTTTAATCCCAACCTCTCACCCCTGGTACCCGGGTACGAATAGTTGCAGCCATAGGGGAATACGAACGTACAGGCTGCCTAGCTATTCATCTAAAGCAGCGGTTCTCAACCTGTGGGTTGTGACTCTTTTGGGTTCGAACGACACTTACACATTCATCTAAAGCAGCGGTTCTCAACCTGTGGGTCGTGACTCTTTTCGGTTCGAACGACCATTACACCGGGGTCGGCTAAGACCATCGGAAAGCATATATTTCTGAAGTAGCAACAAAAATAATTTGATGATTTGGGGGTCACCACGACATGAGGGACTGTATTAAAGGGTCGCGGGATTAGGAAGGTTGAGAACGACTGTTCTAAAGAGAAGTTACCGAGGTAGTACTAAATGATATGCGAGGTGAGCCGTCACGTCAATTTTTGAGACCCCCCTGCAGCATTCCGGTTTGTGCCTCTGCATTCAAAGATGACAGTTTAATTATTTTCTCATTCACAACTTTGGACCCCTTAAATATCCGGGAACCCTTGTAGCCGCAGAGATTGCAGGCCACCAAGCGATGGCCCTGCGTGTCAGAGTAGATACTACGACTGTTTTCAAAAGACAATAAAAAAAAAAATAAAAAAACTAAGAAGACCCGGTCTCAATACCATGTCGTGGAATTCACGGCAGTAGATATTTAAGAAAGCTTGAACAGTGTTTGAAAAAAAGTCAACATCTCCGAATGTATTCATTGTTAAGACAACATTTTCAACGGAATTTAAAACAATGCATTCTCTGAAATACTGACTAGGTTATATATATTTTTTTTTCCGTGGTTATTTAAACATCATTTTTAATCATGGCATTGTCTAAATAGCGTATCTTTAAAAAAAAAAAAAAAAAATGTGCTTTTATAGAATTCTTGCCCCTTTCACCAACTGCATCCGGACTGGCCTGATAGAATGCAACCCCAATTATGAGAAGCTACTGGACTACGAGCTGGCAAAGTTTGGCGGGTAATGCGACCTTTGACTTAATACAGTATGTCAATAAGTTTAACATAGATCTTAAAGTTTTGAATTCCGGTTTTGTCTCTTTATTCTAGAGCTCCCTCAAGAAGAAATATGCATGGACGTCACCTGGAATGACACCGAATACACTTCGAAACTTAAAAAAAATAACACATTAATTAGAAATATTAGATTCATACAATTATAAAGTGATCTTTTTTAAATAAAAGAGGAGAAAGAAAATAATTTTAAAAAGAATTTATTCCCCGGCTTTTTATAATCGGCAAAAATGTTGATGTATTACATTCACTCACATATTTTACAAGAATTCTTTATGACATTCCCAGCGTCTGCCTGGCATCAATGAACATACAATCGCCACTCGTGGCTCTGGGGAAGTGCCACCCGCAGTACAGTAACTGGATGCAAAGAGCATCTGCCCGCTCATTGGTTTGGACCTGGTGCTCTCTACTGGCCAGCACTTTGATCAGCTTCCTGGGAGCCAGCTGGCGCTGTCATTGGTGACATGCCCTGAGTCTCAAACCTTAGTCAGTGCTTGATTGCGTCTTTTTTTCTTTTTTCGAGATATACGATGCGTTGTTTATGCTCTTAAGTTTTGTTGTTTTGACCCCTCGGTTTGAAAATGAGCGTTTTCTTTAAGACGATAATTTGGGGGCAATATTTTAGTTTTTAAAACCCAATGTACAGCCAACGCACTGTTAAATCTCAATCAAACATCTGAACGCTAACATGAAAAAAAACAAAAAACGCCTTTGGTCTGTTAAAATGTTGAATTCTTAACTTTTCCCTGGTTGATAATCTACAACAGAACACACAATGCCTTGGTCATAAATTATCAATTGTAAAAGTTGGATGAAATAAAAACATTTTAATGCCAATAACATTTAAAGCAGGTTGTGATGAAAAGCTGATAGAGTTTTATGAAAAGCTGATAAAACTTGCAAACACATCTGGTTTATTTGGCAATCCTACTAAACACATCTGGTTTATTTGGCAATCCTACTGGTCATTGGATCATGGCTTTTGTAACTGAAGGTAACCTAAATTTATTTTAAAAAATGAATCGGAATGCTTGTAAAAAGAATAATGAAAAACGACGCGTGATGATATGTGATCAGATTTAGCATCAGTAAACATCAAAGATTCATTGATCTAACGGTTTGAAAAAAAAATCCTGCGTTTGTTGTTTTATATACTTCAGTTGTATGCGCTTGTAAAAGATTAAAGTTGAAGAGTAGGTTCTAAATCAGGAAAAAATATATTTGTTTTTATAAAATGTTTGCATTGAAAGATGAAGACAGCGACAATTGCAAGGGGGTCACCTTTAGTATGGCCCTGTTTAGGATTATAGGTGCCAAGATTTAGTGGTCTCCCTTCGTACGGCCCTGATTAGGATTATATGTGCCAAGGTTTAGTGGTCTCCCTTCGTACGGCCCTGTTAAGGATAATACGTGCCAAGGTTTAGTGGTCTCCCTTCGTACAGCTTTATTAAGTATGATAGGTGCCAAGGGCTAGTGGTCTCCCTTTGCACGGCTCTTTTTAGTATGATAGGTGCCAAGGGTTAGTGTCTCCCTTCAAACGGGCATGTTTAGTATGATAGGCGCCAAGGGTAAGTGGTCTCCCTTCACCCGGTCATGTTTATTACGAAAGTGCCAAGGGTTAGTGGTCTCCCTTCACACGGGCATGTTTATTATGATAGGTGCCAAGGGTTAGTGGTCTCCCTTCACACGGGCATGTTTAGTATGATAGGTGCCAAGGGTTAGTGGTCTCCCTTCGTACAGCTTTATTAAGTATAATAGGTGCCAAGGGCTACTGGTCTCCTTTTGCACGGCTCAATTTAGTATGATAGGTGCCAAGGGTTAGTGGTCTCCCTTCACACGGGCATGCTTAGTATGATTGGTGCCAAGGGTTAGTGGTCTCCCTTCGCACGGGCATGTTTAGTATGATAGGCGCCAAGGGTTAGTGGTCTCCCTTCACACGGGCATGTTTAGTATGATAGGCGCCAAGGGTTAGTGGTCTCCCTTCACACGGGCATGTTTAGTATGATAGGCGCCAAGGGTTAGTGGTCTCCTTTCACACGGCTCTATTTTCATGATAGGCGCCAAGGGTTAGTGGTCTCCCTTCACACGGCTCTATTTAGTATGATAGGTGCCAAGGGTTAGTGGTCTTTCTTCGCACGGCTCTATTAACTATGATAGCAGTCGTTGTAAACATCGTCTCGAACAGAAAAAAACAAATTTTGAATGGTTTAATTACAACATCCAACGTCAAAATAAATAAATATATGTAATAAAAATACCTTAATCAAATCGAGCAGAGAAACACACATACATTTCTTTAATGAAGGAAACCAATCATAAGCCAGCTTCTTTCCAAAGCATTTATGCGTCCTAATTAAAATTCTTTTAATTTTAATAGTTTTAAAAATCATAATTTTGTTAAAAAGTAGAACAAAGAAATAAATAAAAACGAGAGGTTAAAATTAAATTTGCATAGGCCGTCTCGTGAGAAGTGTGCCTGACGTGCCAAACACATTTGTCAAAACAGCCATCACAAAATGTCAAATTACCCGCCCCATTTTTTTATAACAGACACGCGCTTCATTAGCGTAAAATTCTTTTTCATCACCGGGTGTTATGAGATTCGTTAAAGTTTTCTTCCCCCAGTGATGGATACATCAATAATATTGTATCAGCCATGAATGTCAGGTACATTAATTGGTAACTGCAGTCTTTACCAACCCCCCACCCCCCCCAAAAAACAAAAAAAAAAAAAAAAAAAAAAAAAAAAAAAAAAAAAAAAAAAAAAAAAAAAAAAAAAAAAAAAANTAGCGTAAAATTCTTTTTCATCACCGGGTGTTATGAGATTCGTTAAAGTTTTCTTCCCCCAGTGATGGATACATCAATAATATTGTATCAGCCATGAATTTCAGGTACATTAATTGGTAACTCCAGTCTTTACCACCCCCCCCCCCCACCCAAAAAAAAAAAACAACAACAAAACAACAGAAAAAAACAACAAAAAAAAAAACGAAAAAAAAACAAACAAAAACCAACTCTTGTCATCCGATTTCCTCAAAGTCTGTCATAGAAATTCTTGTCGGCGTGTCTTCAATCCAAACCCCAAAAATCGACACCTGTCGCGTTTAGAAGCTGACTAATCTCTTTATAGCGATCCCCATCTAGATTCATGATTTTTAAAAATAAATAAATCTGTTGTCAACATCTGCCTAAATGCTTGACTCCTTGCGACACATGGTTATGTCACTCGGAAGACACATTGTTATGTCTCACAGAAGACACATCGTTACGTCTCACGGAAGACACACCGTTATGTCTCATGGAAGACACATCGTTATGTCTCATGGAAGAAACCTCATCATGTCTCGCAGTTTAAAAAAAATAAAGCATTATATGTTGTAAACACTCATTAATCCCGAAATGAAAAGGATGAAATCCAAGCCCTCGCGGTATTGGGCGCCTGCCCCTCCATTGCGTTTGCCAGCCCCTCCACCGCCTGACCCTCCATCGCCTGCGCCTGTTCCCTGGTTGCCCGTATTTTCCACGCCTGCTTCGCCCCCACCTGTACAATGGACTGTCAAGATAATGGGGTTAGGTTCAAGGTGGTGAATCAGGCAATCGCTGAGGAATAAAATGGAGTCGGTGAAACGGAAAGAAATAGTTTCGAAAAGGAGGGGGGGGGGGTGTAAACTGTGGACAACATATATTAATACATTATATCACACTGACTATCGTGGGAACCAACTCATCCGTCTAGCCAGCCATCCATCAATCCAACCAGCCATTCCTAAATCCAGCCATCCATCAATCCAACCAGCCAGTCATTCCTAAATCCAGCCATCCATCAATCCAACCAGCCAGTCATTCCTAAATCCAGCCATCCATCAATCCAACCAGCCAGTCATTCCTAAATCCAGCCATCCGTCAAACTAGACTTTCATTCAGCTTTCCAACCATCGACTCATCTATCAATCCATTCATCATTCATACAGATAGCCATCCATCTTGCTAGCCACCCATCTAGCCAGCTATCCATCCACCTATCTATCTAGCTATCGTCCATCCGGCTAGCCACCAGTCCGGCTAGCCACCAGTCCGGCTAGCCACCAGTCCGGCTAGCCATCCATTCTGCCATTGCATTATTCACCCAGCCATCCATCCAGATGGCTTTCCGTGCAGTCATGCAGACAGCCATCCATCCTGCCAACCATCCAAGATAGCCATCAGTCAATCAATCCAGTCAATCACTCCAGATAGCGATCCACACTTTCAATCTATCCCATCTTTATTTCTTGTTCGACTATACATTTTCACCAACACGACTTTGTATGACTTAAGATAATAATCCGTTGTTCAAGTTCAGTCACTTCATGCCAACAGTCATGATATACTAACTGGACCCCACCTCCCTTTCTATACACCCTACCCCTCTGGATTTACGTACTTCCTAATTTTTATTTACAAATTAATAAAAAAAAAAGTATTATTTTGAACAATTCCTGAAAACCTCCGCATTCTCCCTTCTGTTGTATGTAAACGATTATCTTAGTGTTCATGTCAGTTTACTCACTCGCCCAGTCTGGCAAGGTAGTACTCAAACATTGGCCCTGTGTCGGTGCTGCAATTTTCAAACTGCTCTTTGATACATTTCCAGTGCTTGTAGTTCATCCTGAGTACACACACACACACGAAAAAAAAAAAAAAGTAGATATCGAGTGATTCAATAAATCGAACTGTCGGTTCAAAAATGGTTTTTTTTTTTTAAAATTCAAGGACGACAGCGGCACATTTTGTTTCTAAGGCTGCTGAAGCTTGACTGATAATAAATGAAGGCCTTCAGTCAAGCTTTGTGAATGAAACAGTAGAACAAGGTACGTGTAAGCTTGAATCAAAAAGACAAGACAATGAGATGTGAACGTTTCGGCTAAGAGCCTTCCTTAGCAAACAGAAAAGAATAAAAGTACGATATGTAACTGAGCGCCGTTAAACATTTGAGTGATCTGTTGCCTATCTTTTGATTCAAGCTTCCACAAACCTTTAGAGCTTGAACCCTCTTCTTGATGCGCCCTCGGCAGAGGTGTAGGAGGAGAGGGTGCGGAGTGGACGTGGTTCTGGGTGGTATTTTTTCTTTACATTGAAATCTGGCATTTTCCGACGAAAATTCGTATTTTTAAAATTATTTATTAGTTGTTTTGTTTTTTTGGTAGGAAGTGGGTGGCAAAAGTCTTATCTCGCCCAGATTAAAAATAATAATAATAAGAGATCTTATATAGCGCGGTACCCCAGCCTAGGGCTGGGCTCACCGCACTGTAAATAAAAATTTTATCAAAAGAGACATAATTAGAAATTAAAATAAAATACATTTATAAAATAAAGAACAGCAATGTATATTCACCCACCCCACCACATAACTTTTACAAGGCAAACCATGGACGGCAGCCAGTAAGATCGTTTATCGGTCAGAGGAGGTGAATCAGTCAGGGTAGTATAAGTTAAATAGATGTGTTTTGAGTGCAGTTTTGAAGGCCTGGGTGGTTGGTATATTGCGTATGTGTAGTGGCAAAGAATTCCATTAATTGGGGGCGCAGAATGAGAAAGATCGTTCACCATATGTTTTAGTGTGTGTTTTGGGAACGGACGGAATACGTGTGTCTGCAGAGGAGCGAAGCTGTCGAAGGGGTGAATAGACAGAAAGAAGTTCGGTTAGATATGAAGGGCAGGAATCCAAGAAAAAGTTATGACAGAGAACAGACAAGTTGTAGTCAATGCGTGTCTGTATAGGTAGCCAATGAAGGGAATGGAGTAGTGGAGTGGCATGATCACGTTTTTTTGCCTCTAAAACTAGCCTAGCAGCTGAGTTTTCAACTTTCTGC